ATAACTGATGTTTCATTTTTCGGCACATGCACAACACGTTTTCTTGATAAATCCGAGCGTTTTCTTGAAATAGTAGGCTGAGACATGTTGAAGTCTGCTGCAAAATGATTTTTTTTTATTGTTTATTGCGTGCAAAGATTGTTTTCTTGTACGCATAATTCGATAATATTTTTTATTTGAGAGCTTATAGGTCTATTATCTCGTTTATTATCAGAAAACGACTTGAATGCAGTCATGTCGGCGAATTATCCTCTGTTTAACTTAACGACAAAATTTTGAACTGTGCGCTTCGATAAATTAAGAAAAGTGGAAATGCTTGTTGTGGATTAACTTCTTTCAATTAAATGCTTAAGCATTTCAATGTGCTCTTTTGTAACATTTTTCCTTGTTTTACGATTGGTACTGCTATTTTCTATTCCATCCATAGGGATGTATAGTTTGATATTAATAATAATTATAAATAATTAAATTTACATCTAGATAAATGAATAATTAGATAAATAACGACTTAATCAATCAAATTTAATAATAAATTACAAAGAACTAATACTAAATTAAATAAACCATTGTCGAATGTAAAAAGTCTTAATTTAAAGTATTTTTAACCTCGTTTAGCTGGAAATAAAAAAAATTTGTTTTGAAAAAATAAACTATTTTTTCAAAACAAATTGCTTAAATGATTTTTTTTTTTGTTCAAATTGCTTTTTTACAATTGCTTTTGTAAAACGCATATAAGATTGAATAAAGGCGCATATAAAAATGAATAAATGCGCATATAAGAATGAATAAAGGCGCATATAAAAATAAATAAATGCGCATATAAGAATGAATAAAGTCTTTATTCATTCTTATATGCGCATTTATTAATTTTTATATGCGTCTTTAAGACGCATATAAAAATTAATAAATGCGCAAATAAGAATGAATAACCCTGTAACAGTAAGCAAACCATAATACGCGTTGTTAGTAAATAAAATTAAAAAAAAAACGCGTATAGAAAAGCCTAGAAACTACTTTAAAATAGAAAAGCCTAGAAAATGACGTAATTCGACTAATAATATTAAATTAGCGTATTAATATTATCAAATAACAAATTGTACTTTGAACTATTTAGTAATTGAACAAAGATTTGTTTACTTAAAACACATTTACTAATGTATATTTGCAAAAATAAAATCATTTTTGATCTTAACTTCTCTTTGGTAAAAGCGTTTTTTTAAATTTATAAAATATTATAAAAACGCAAAGTTTATCCAACTGGTAAGGATAAATATTAATAATATTTAAAATTATTTTTGATTGAAAAAATAGTATTTACAATATATTTTACAATATATGCTATTAAGGAAAATAATCATTAAGTTAGTTTCCTAAATTCAATATTCTAGAAAAATAACAAAGAAAATATACACATTGCAGTTATATTAACTTTTTTTTGTTAACGCTTTTTTCATGATAATTATTGGTAAGAAAGAAAACTTTTTTTTTTGATATGTTTTATTTTAAAACCATTTTAAAAATTACGTTTTAGAAAGAATTGGTATTTCATTTACATTTAATGAATTATGAAGAATTAGATTTTTTTTTTTTTTTTTTTTTTTTTTTATTTAGTTGCCACAAGAAGTCCTTACGGTCTTATCACAGAGAACCGCGGATGAGCATTAGTTGGAAGTTCACGCCTCCTTCCTAACCGATGTCGCAAAACTTGCCAGAGGTAGGTCTGAACCACGGATCTTTTGTTTCTGAAGCAAGTGCGCTGCCACTGCGCACGGCTACTCAAATAAACAAAATGGTTACAATCCCAGGGCTCAATTTACCTGTCGGGCATCGCCACCCCTTAGACTATTCCTTAAATCTGCTAGAGGAGGGCAATAAACCATTATTGATTTTTTTAGTCAAAATGAACAATGGCTGGTTGCCCCCATAAATTAGATCTTAAAAACAGTCCGTAGGGCGGTGATGTCCAACCATTAAATTGAGTCTTGCAATCCATTATGGCGGTATCAGGATGTAAATGTAGTGACGGGATAGCTCAGTTGGTTAGAGCGTCAAATAAAAAGTGAAAACCCGGATTGTTAAACGATACAACGTTCAAATTCTGCCACCGCCGATTTAGCGCTTGAGTAGCACTTCGGTACGCAAAAATATTGGTCAATAACGGACGTTATTTTAGTTTAGTCTATTTGTGGCTGTTCCTATGCTAAGCCAATAATATCTTCGGATATAAGAACATTGTATAGAAAAATATAGCATGAAAATTCAAATAAATATGATGGGTTATTTAGCATTAAGCAATTCGATAGATATGTTTCATAGCACTTTGAAGATTTCAATTTACAGTGCATTTCAAAAAAATCAATTTGAATTCAATTTTTACCATGAACTATGGAAATCTTTTCATCGGCAATATTTTGTGTTATTCCCATTTAAATAAGGTGCACAAACACAATAAGTGCACTCCTAATCAATCAGAATCACTAATCAAACCAGAATCAACCAATCAGACCGAGTTCTAAATAAATTTAATCAAGACCAAAAGAGATCTTTGTTAATTAATCCAAAAAAAAAGGGGGATGTAATAATGAACGACGGAGCTAGTGTTATGAAAAAAGTTGGAAGGTTGCTGACTGCAAATTAATAATGTTTTGCCCATGGCATACAACTTGCTGTAATTGATATTCTTTAAAGAAAAGAACGTTAAAAAGAGAATTCGGTGCAAATCAGCCAGAGTTTGAAAATTAATTTTTTGACAGTAATTCATCCGAGAATGAGGATATTGAAAAAGATTTACTGGGCTACAATCATGAAATTTTAAAATCTAAAATTGAACTAAATGAAGTTCATTGATGACCACTAATTAAAAAAGTACGCAAGTTGATAATAATATTTAGACGATCAGTTACCTAGAACGGCTTCTTACAAAAATATATTAAGGCTAAATTTGGAAAACAACTGTCTTTAATTATGGATTGCAAAACACAGTTGAGCAACCTTCTGTTAATATTTAAACGATTTTATAAAGGAAAAAATTTTATACAAAAATCATCAATTGATATTTCTATAGCTCTGTCGCATGATGATTTGACAATTTAACAGATATTATCACAACTTTAGTTCCTATTAAAGCAAGGTTGAAATACTTTGTCGCCGAGATTCTAACCTATTTACAGCTGACATTGCTAATAATTTTATGCTTACAAAAATAAAAGATGCTAAGAATAACCCAAGCATGGAAATGCGTACGCCTTGGCTTGTATACATGAACGCCGAACTGATATGAGTGGACTTCTGCAATACCTGCATAACAATCGAAACTCCATTGAAGTCGATGAAGAAGTAATTACAGTGCCTTCTTCATTCAAATGTCAAAAACTGTTGGTAGAATTGCTGGAAAGGTTAAACGCTTCCAATCCTACTTTAGTAAGAGCATCAGTTGAGTCTGATATGCTAGATTTTATTGAAGAACCTGAAACTGAAAATATTACTTTAAGTATTGAAGAGGAGCTTGATTGTGTAATTAAAAAAGCGCAATCTCCGATGCAACCAGTTAGACATGAAACATTGTTATCAAAAATTTTTAAAAAAATGACATTATTTGAAAATAGAGGTACAAGTGATGATTATTTAGAAAGAGTTTATTCATTTCTAATGACGGTTAAACCAACAACTGTCACGGCTGAGCGGGCATTTTCTCCCGCTGGACTGTTTAATAACAAAATTTGTAACAGGTTAGGCGATAAAACATTGGACGCGTTGTGCTTCCTGAGGCCACATTTCAAAGTACATGAAACATGATATGTTTCCTTATTTCTAATGAAATTTCTTTACATTAATTAACATATTTTTTTTCTATACATGTAACGATGTAATGTAAACAGCATCATTTATAAAATATATATTTGTTTAAGAGTGTTATGTTTTTATTCTACTTAATACTATATAGATGCTATACCTGTTTTCTAATCCCGAAATTAATTGTGGGATCCCGGGGCTTAATGTTTCTCAATCCCGGAATCCCGGGATTGAGAAAGACCTCCGGGATTGCAAACCCTATTCCAAACAGTCAGACAACTTTATCTCTAATTTATTATGACAGTGAGGAATAACATTGAATAACAAAAACAAAGACAAAATTTAAATATACATATATGTATCCAATCCATTGCAAAACTAGCATCTGCTAAGGTCTCTTTATCGAGCTCGCACTTTCTTACTTCTGATTCTATTCTTTATCTCTATATATCTCAAAGCCGTTCTTGTGCGGAATACTATTGCAATATCTGAAGCGGATTTTTAAATGATGCCCTTTCTCTTTTAGACAAAGTGCAAAAAATTTTTGAGGTAAACATAGTTAACCTGCTCTTAAACCTGCTCTTAAACCTGCTCTAGCTGCCAACCTATAAAACTGTCACATCATCGTAATGTTGTTTCTCTTTCTCTTTTCTATAAACACTGTAAGGGATGCTGCTCTGAAGAGCGTCTCTTGAGCCATCTATTAAAATTTGTTTTCCTATTGCTAGTCATTCAATCCTAAGTGCTCCAAAAATTCTTATTTGTATGGTTTTTTTCCTCAAACATCAGTTCTTTGGAATTCGCTACTTTTATCTTATTTCCTGATTTATATTGTTTGCAATCTTTCGAGTAATCTTTTAATTGTTATCTTGTTTTATAAACTTCACCTTTTCTATTTTAGTAACTTCCAACTCTATTATGGTTGCTTGCAGCCTTGTTGGAAGTGAAGATATTCAAAAAAACTTCATGAATTATTTTAGTTATAACTTTATAATATAATACTATTATATTATATTATAGCATGTATTTTTTCTTTGTTAATAGTTCAATATAAAAATTTTTGCCAGCTGAAGTGAATTTACTCAGTGGGCACGCGTGAGAGAGAGAGAGAGAGTGAGAGAGTTAAAAGTTATTTAATATTAGTTAAAGTTAATGAAATAAAACTAAAATTTAAATAATTATTTAAGAGATAAAAAAAACCGACATACCTCTTATCGCAAAAACGTTATTTTTCTTTATTTAAGCCTTTAATAGATAATAATAAAGAAAAAATAAGAAAATTTGAAAAAAAAGTTCTTATCTTTATGAAAGTTCAAAAAACAAAAAAATATTGAAACAAAAAATTTTAATTCATTATTTAGTTAACTTGTAATCGTGTAGTTGATTAATAATTTAATTTACGTCAACTTAAAAAGCATTTCATAGTTTAAGCGGAAAACTATATAGCATCTTTTTAATTCCTGAGTTTTTTGTTCAGAATATTTAAAATATTTGTTATTTAACATAATTAAAAAAATAAATTAAATATTTATTTTTTAATAAGTATTTAATTAAATTGCACCTTCTAACATCGTGTGCAATCCTGTCCGCTTTCTGTATGCTATCTTCCTAACACGACTTCTTCTGTCTTTTACTCTAACATTCTTCATTCTTCCTAAACTCACTTTACTATTGGTCCGTAGAGCGGGTTATGACGCTCCTTGGGGAGCCGAACCTGTCTTTGCGGGCCTTGGTAATGTGGCCTCTATATGGCAATTAGCCGGAGGAGGATAAACCACAATACCTTTAACATATTTGAAATCAAAGTCATTTTAAAAATCATTTCAGGTTTTTTTCAATTTGTTGTTGTTTTTTTTTTACATCTTATTTTTTTTACACTAAATAATAATTTGTTTTGTATTATTGAATTTTTTTATCTTAAAAACAGTATTTAGCAAAAGTATATTGGTTTTTGTAGTAAAAACTATAAAAGTTCTTTAAAGTTTCTTTGTAACTATGAAACATATCATTTTTAGCTTTTTTGAGCCTGTGACCGATCATAATGTATATATTTAGTATAAAGTTTTGTATTTATATTATATTATATTTATATTTAATAGTAAATAAGTTTTCATGAACGTGTTTACGTTTTTATTTTTATTTTTTTTCTATTTTATGAAAATTGTAATGCAGTATAACTGTCATAATTAAAAAGTAAAGTCATATAATACTTGCATTAAAATTTTATGATTGTATTTATTTAAATATTTACCATCTTATTTACGTATGACGTATGACGTATCATTTACAATACTTTACTAATTATAATACTTTTGTTTTTAAATTTTTAAAAACTTTTATTTTCAAGTTTCATTACTTTAATGGAAGTCTAAAGTTTTAAAATCACCTGATAAAATATTCTTCTGTTTTATATTGCACCAAATAATTATTACAACTACTTTTTTTATTTACATTGATTTTTTACAACAATATTTATAACTATATCACGTTTTCATGACGTAGTTGTACGTCATATATAAAACAACTAATAAGCAGTCATATTGATCTAGCTATATTTATTTAATTAGTTGAAAGGTTGAGTAAAAAACTAAATAATTAAAACATTTCAATTGAGATATAAAAGAATTAGATGTAAAACCGGAGGTTGACGCAATCTTCGTTTTTTGCAACTAGGTGTCGATGGGCCGATTCAACTCAGGCCATTGAGCTTTATTTAATGATGTATGCACTAAACTTTGACGCTAATCGAAGCATCGCCATTTAGGCTTGCAAAAATTAGTGTACGGTGCAAATCTATTCACCGTATTTTAAAAGTTGTGTCAGCAGACACAATTATATTTTATACTTGTACCACCAGCAACCATTAAAACTTTTTGTGTCCGCAGAATTTTATTGACTTGTCAGCCGGTGCACATAACTCTAATAGGCGGTCCAGTCACCACAAGATCTCCTCAACTAGCGTGTATAAAAATATATTGAGGACACCTGATTTTTCAGTTTATGTTTTATTTTGACTTGTACACTGTTTATGAACAGATTAAAAACTCGCGAGGTTAGAATTATTTTGTTCTATCTCCACTTTTTTCGAGTTATTGATTGTGTCTTGCACCTCAAAATAATGTTTTTCTACTATATTAAAACCTAAGTTAAAATCAAAAACGTTTTGGAGAAAACATAAGTAATAAAAATCTTTTTATATGTCGTCTCCTAAAGTTTTTATTTTTTAAATCGTTTTATCTCAAAACTCAAAAATGTGGAGATAGAACAAGATAATTCTAACGTCGCGAACTGATGAAAACTGTTTATCACACCTATAAAACCTATAAAAAGACAACACTTCCAAAATGGAATAGAAAGTTTTCAGCACCAACAACTTTTGCTAAACATTATTTTCTGCTAGATTACTCAAAGACTGATTTTTTTTTTACCGTGAACTTTGGGAAGTCAGACTAGAAAACTTTGGTTATTTAAAAAAATTAAAAATGGCGAAAAATATCTACGCTTAGCAGGTTTAAGGACGGGCGTAATAAACTTTTTAAAAAAGAATTATCAACCATTTTCAACAAATTATCAACCATTTTATCAAATTTAACATACTTCTAATATATATTGTTAACCCGTATTTTTAACATTTAAACTAAAAAAAAAAAACATGATTAATGTTTTTTTTTGATTTCAGATTTATAAAAATAATAAGTTCACTTCCCAGTAAGCACAGATCGTTTTTAAAACGTTTAAAAAACGTTAAAAACCGTTTTCATAGATTTTTTAAACGTTTTAAAAACGTTATGTGCTTACTGGGTTATTTTTTTTCTTACTCATAAGTAGTGGCCAAATTCAGTCAGATTCTCTTCAAATTTAATTTATTAAATTCAAACATTTTATTTTGCTTTTTACACACTCATAGGTTTTGGTGTACTTTTATATTGCAACATGTTATCCAGTTTTTAATAAATGGAGGATAAGTTGTGTGATTTTCAATGCAATGATTACAATGTTTTATTGCTTTGAAAAAAACATTTGACCATTGTCAAATTTTACATGCCAAAAAAAAAGGGCACAACCTTTTAAGGTTTTCTTACCCTCCAGTTCATTAAACGCGTGTATTTTATGTCTTCATGATTTCACACAAAAGTATTCATCCTATGATGATGGTTCTATGAAAATTATTCTATGAAATAATCAGGGAAAAAAAACAGAGGCTGTCCTAAATATAGGAAAAATCATAAATGAAAAGCTAATTTATTCATAAAACTATCATTGTATTTGTAAAACATGCTATACAAATGTAAAAAGAACATTGCGAAAATACAAAAAAATATAAATGCTATCTCAAGAGGTTGTGAAATTCTTAAAGAAAACTCACAAAAAATATTGATATCTACACCAACAGCAGAAGAAACGAATAGTAGAATATTTTTGAACATAAAAATGAAGCTTGATTAAGTTAAGAGGTTGTTTATATTTTTGTTTTGTGTTATTATACTTTTCACTATTAAAATCTGTTTTGGAATGAAATTGACCATATGGTCTATCAAGATAGCTTTTATATTTTTCATCTACTTCTTTGTGAAAGTACCAATAAATTGATCTTACATTAACCATATTTGTAGAAAAGACTAAAGTTCTTTCAGCTGAATAAGTATTTTAAAAAATATTTTGAACAACTGGGTAGAAAAATTTCTCTGGATCTCATGAGTCAATATGTATCAGCCTGTATTTAATATTTCTTGATTCTGGTGTAGATGATAAAATAACCAAATTATGCATACAAAAATTATCAACAATGGTAGCTCAGTTGGTTAAAACACTGTAATAAGTTCGGAATAATTATTGTCCATAGCAGCAGGATTGGAAGTTCAATTCCCCTTTAACAATCACAGATGAAAAAGGTATAAATAATATCATGTAATTCACAAGATTTTGCTCATATAATGCTATACGTATTGCATTTATCTTTTCTTTCAACAAGCAAAATTTTTCAATTTTAAAACAATTTTATGTGTTGCAAAAAAGTCTGTAAATATCAATGTTTACTTTACGAGCAAATTTATTTATATAAAAAATCACTTACCACTTTTTCATGGCTTTCGTTACCACTTTTTCATGGCAACAAGTTTTCACTTACCACTTTTTCATGGCAACAAGTTTTTGATTAAAAGTCATTGACAATTGATCTAAAAGTTGTTACAATGGCTTCAGGTGAACAAATATTACATTTGCTTCATTGTAATTTATCTAAAAAAATAGTATATACTTTTAGACAATAAACAACACTCCATAATTCAAATAAAAAATTTACTTGAGGCATGTCTAAATTCAATATCAGAATAATATAATATTTCATAATAAATGCTTATCGCATTTAGAATTAATAATGAAAAATTACAATGAAATATCAAAATATTATAAATATCATAATAAAATATGATAACGAAATATCATAACATAATAATGAAATACCATAATTAGTAATGAAATATCATAAATATCTAAATACATTTAGTAAATGCATTTAGATATTTATTGAGAAATTTTTAATGGTAAATGATTTATCATTAAAAATTTCTCAATAAATGATTAATTATTTTGTATTCACATGTTTTCTACAGAAAATTGAAATCAAAATTCCAAAATTTATGAACAACATTTCACTGAAATTTTCAGAAAAAAATGTATTATTTCTCAGGGCAAAAACTAGATCTTTTCTAGAGAGGTGGAAAACTTAATTTCTTAACAAAATAATGTATAATAATGATAGTTGTTACCTGTGTTTGATCATCTCCTATATTTTTTTCTTTGTTGATTATGCTTCATGGAAGCTACTTTGATTTGTTTTTCACTAAGAACGTTTTCTTGATCTTTCATTCAATTGAAAAGCAGAGAAACAACTAAAATTTAATTATTGCACAATTTAAGTACATATTCATTTCGAATGCTGTCAGGTGCTTTTCCTTTACTTAATAAGTTTAAGAGTGAAGGTAAAATAGGGTAAACATTGGAACACAAAAGATTTTTTACTGCCTGTGGCAATCAAAACAATCTATGCCATTCCTGAGAGCTATTAAAGCTTCTTTTTTCCTTCAAAGATTTGATACAAAATAAGTCACAAACTATTTTAAAAGAATACTCTAAATTATCCTTTTTCGTTTGATATATTGCTTCTAAATAGCACTGATAATTTAATTAACAAAATTTTGGCGCATTTTTAAAATAAACTTTAAAAAATATAACGTTGACATAAAGGTTATTCAACGGTTAGTGAAAAATTTAGCGTTAAGTTTACCTTAATGTTAGTAAAAATTATTTTTTAAGCGTTAAGTTTCCTA